GGATGCGTGTCATTTGTTGCTTGGAAGACCGTGGCAGTTTGATCATGATTCGGAGCATAAAGGGAAAACTAATGTGTATATTGTAACTACCAAAAATGGTAGAAAAGTTAAGTTAGTTCCTTTACCTCCTAAAGTTGCTAAGAAAGAAAAAGAGAAAAGCAACTATCTTGTAACTTGTAATGAATATGAACGAATAATGAAAGAAATGGGGGGAGGGTATGCTTTGGTGGTAAGGACCAAAGATGATAATGGTACTACTTGTATTAACTCATCCATGCTAAATGAGTTATTAGAAGAGTACCAAGATGTGTTCCCCAATGACTTGCCCAAAGGCCTACCTCCAATTAGAGGCATTGAGCATGCCATTGACTTAATTCCAGGAGCACCTTTGCCCAACAAGGCTTCCTATAGGTGTAATCCGGAAGAGAGTAAGGAACTTGAAAAGCAAGTGAACGAATTACTTGAGAGAGGTTATGTGAGAGAAAGCCTTAGTCCTTGCGCGGTTCCAGCCCTCTTAGTACCAAAAAAAGATGGTACTTGGAGAATGTGTGTTGATAGTCGTTCCATTAACAATATAACGGTCAAATACCGTTTTCCTATGCCTCGATTGCAAGATATGTTAGATGAGTTGAGTGGTGCCTTAGTCTTTTCCAAAATAGATTTAAGGAGTGGGTACCATCAAATGAGAATTCGAGAGGGGGATGAGTGGAAGACGGCTTTCAAAATAAAACAAGGGTTGTATGAGTGGTTAGTGATGCCATTTGGGCTTTGCAACGCCCCAAGCTCCTTCATGAGATTGATGAATGAAGTTCTCCGTCCTTTTCTTAATGATTTTGTTGTTGTTTACTTAGATGACATTCTTGTGTATAGTAAAAACAATGATGATCATGTAATTCATTTGAGGAGATTGTTTCAAAAATTGAGGGAGGTGAAGTTGTATGGTAAGCTTGAAAAATGTGTATTCATGACTCCTAGTGTTGTATTCTTAGGATACATTGTAACAGGAGAGGGGGTTCATGTAGATCCGGAGAAGGTAAAAGCAGTCCAGTCTTGGTTGGCTCCAACCAATGTGCACGAAGTTAGAAGTTTTCATGGACTTGCCTCCTTCTATAGGCGGTTCATCAAAAACTTCTCTACCATCATGGCTCCAATCACCGAGTTGACCAAAAAGGGTGAGTTCGTATGGGAAGAAAATGCTCAACGAGCCTTTGAGAAGGTTAAACATATGCTTTGCAACGCTCCTATACTTGTGCTACCTGATTTCAACAAAGTGTTTGAGGTAGAGGGTGATGCAAGTGGGATTGGAATAGGTGCTGTTTTGATTCAAGAGAAGAAGCCCGTGAGTTACTTTAGTGAGAAGTTAAATGGGGCTAAGTTGAACTATTCCACTTATGACCGTGAGTTCTATGCCATAGTTAGAGCACTTGATCATTGGTCTCACTACCTTAGACCAAAACCATTTGTTCTTCATTCCGATCATGAGGCTCTGAAATTTATTCATGGGCAACAAAAACTCAACAAGAGACATGCTAAATGGGTGGAGTTTCTCCAATCATTTACCTTTAGCTCCAAGTACAAGGATGGAAAGAGTAATGCTGTGGTCGATGCATTGTCTCGTCGGAGCTACTTACTTTCCATGGTGGATGCTAAGATCTTGGGTTTTGAACAACTCAAGGAATGTTACATAAATGATCCCGACTTTGCTAGCGAGATAGAGAATCCTACCAAAGAGTTTGTGAGACAAGATGGCTACCTCTTTAAAGGTAACAAGCTATGTGTTCCGAAGAGTGGGGTTAGGGAGTTATCAGTGAGAGAAGTGCATGGTGGAGGTTTAGCCGGTCATTTTGGGATACAAAAGACTCTTGATATTCTAGGTGAACACTTCTATTGGCCTAGAATGATCAAGGATGTTACTCATGTTGTGGAGAGATGTGCTACTTGTCAAAAGGCTAAGGGACACTTCACAAAGGGTCTTTATACTCCGTTGCCAGTTCCGGATGCTCCATGGGAAAGTGTTAGCATGGATTTCATTGTTGGATTGCCTCGCACTCAAAGGGGAAGAGATAGTATCATGGTTGTTGTAGATAGATTCTCTAAAATGGCACACTTTGTAGCTTGTAATAAAACTGATGATGCCGTGAAAGTGGCCGAGCTGTACTTCAAGGAAATTGTCAAACTCCATGGCATTCCTCGAAGTATAGTATCTGATAGGGACTCCAAATTCCTTAGTCACTTTTGGAGAACCCTATGGAAACTTGTGGGTACCAAGTTACTATTTAGTACCTCGCATCATCCCCAAACCGATGGGCAAACCGAGGTCACTAATAGAACTTTGGGTACTTTGTTACGAGGTCTTGTGAGCAAAACGCAAAAAGATTGGGACATGAAATTAGCCCATGCGGAGTTTGCTTACAATAGAGCTCATTCCCTAACTACTTCCCGTTCTCCATTTGAAGTAGTTTATGGAGTGAACCCATTTGTGCCGATTGATCTTGTTCCTATGGTTAAGAATGACATGGTAGAGAAAGATGCTAAAAAGAGGGTGGAAACCTTTCAAAAAACCTGTGAGCAAGTGAAGAAAAGAATTGAGGAGATGAATAAAAAATACCAAGAGCGAGCCAATAAGAAACGCAAACAGCATATTTTTCATCCCGGGGACTTGGTTTGGGTGCATTTGAGGAAGGAGAGGTTCCCTAAGCTTCGCAAAAACAAGCTTATGCCTCGTTCTGATGGTCCTTTTAAGGTTCTTGAGAGGGTGAACGATAGTGCTTAAAAAATTGAGCTACCAGACAAATTGATGGGTGTTAGTGCGACTTTCAATGTAGGGGATTTATCACCATACTTTGATGATTCAAGTTTGAGGGCAAACTCTTTTGAAGAAGGGGGGGATGATCCAAAGTGGACATCTAATGAACCTGTTGCTTTAGTCTTAGAGACTCTTGGGTTTTTCCCATTCACAAAGAAGGGTGAAATTCTATGCTGCATTTCATGGGAAGATTGAAGATTGGTACACGGTTGGCTAGCATCACATTTTGGACGCATTTCATGACTATTTTGGGCGTGTGGATCCTAGGCCATTTACTATCTATTATTAACTTATGTGCTAGTTAATGTTGCTGAAATAATGCCAAGAATCTAGCTCTTGGCCGGTTGTAATGGGGGGGTTATCAATAGGCTTTATTATGCTTTCATTACTTAGCTTAAATCAAGGCTTAAATCAAGGAGGAAACCATTGGCTGTTGGCCTTTCATTTTTGGACGGTTTTCCTTGGCTTTTGGTGTGCTTTTGCTGCTCCTTTCCTCTATAAAAGGGAGAGCAAAACAGAAATTAAAAGGCAGTTTTGAGATTTGATAAAAAACCTTGTGTTTATAGCCTTTTAACTTAGAGTTTGTCTCAAGTTCAAGTGTTCCCTTATTGCTTTGAGTGAGTCTTGAGTGATAAGCTTAGGAGAGATTGAGTGAGTCTTATCTCTGGCCTAAAACCCCAAAACTTTGAGTGTGTCCTTGAGTTTTGGCCCTTTTATCTTGTTCCATGATATCTGAGTATTCTAACTATAAGTATTTTTTAAATCCATCAACCCATATTCGGGAGGGGGTATTTAGATTTACATCACCACAACACCCTCAGTAGTTTGAAGTGCAGCAGCAGGGTGATGTAGGATGGACCGGCCCCACTCTTTCAATCCCGACTATCAGTGATCCTGCCGCTGGCGAGGGATTGACTCCTCGGACTATGCAGTTCTTTGATATGTTTGGGGTTCCTCCACATTTGCTTCCTCCTCCATCATAGTTTTACCTTTATATATTTTTATTTTGACTTTGTAGGACTTTGATTATTTGTATTATATGACTCGACACTTATGTTAGACATATTTTATATATACTATGTCTATTTTATCTTTTGCACTTTTTTCTTATTTTAAGTGCATATGAGTGTGTGAGAAAAAATTGTGACTAATTTTTAGCGCAAAATTTTCCGTCATTTTATACTATTAATGGAGGGTATACGGATTTCTCCCCCAAAAAGAAAAAATGAATAACAAAATTGGATCTGACTAAAAATAAGTTTAAATTTAATTAAGCTCAAAATAATCAGATATGGGATAAGTGTTTGGAATAAATCCGCATTAAATAAAATAATGTTTGGATAAGGCTTTGAAAAGAATCAAAACCTTAAAGTCAAAGTACAAATTCAAGTCAAAGTCGGATAACATATAGTTAGTTAAGCGAATAATTCTGATGCGAAAAAAATTAAATTGTCGCGGCGTGAAATCCTTGTCACGGCTTGCTGGTTTTATTTTACCAAATCCTTCAGGGATTTGGTTTGTGTCAGTTCTATTTATAAATAGCCCCCAAATCTGTCGATTTTGGTATAATTCGAACTAAAAAAATAATCTCATCTTTAACTTTCCATCATGTCTAAGATTTTTAGCGATTTTACTCGTTAGTGGTGTCAGTCTTTGACTGCTAAAGAGAGGAAAGAGCTTAACTTTTCCACTTGGGGGGTTTGTATGGCATTAAGGGGATAGACACTACAACAAATTCACCTTTGTGCCACGAGTAAAATCGTGGCACAAGTTTAAAATTCTCGTGGCAATGTAGTGTAGCCACGAGAATTTCGAAATTTACTCCTGTGACACAAGAGGCCGTGGCTAGGAAATTTGCCACGGGAAAATGGATGTCGTGGAAAATTTCGATTTTTATGCCACGGGTATGTACGTGGCAAACAAATTCAATTGCCATGAATATTAATGTGGCTAAAAGTTCTTCGCCACAAATTCTACCGTAGCTAATTAACTTGGTTGCCACAAACATTACCGTGACTAGTAATCTTCTTTGCCACAAATATTACCGTGGCTAATAAACTTTGTCGTCGCAATATACGGTAGCTAATTATTTATTTGCCACAAATAATACCGTGGTAAATAAATCCATTGCCACATTACTACCGTGACAAATAATATCTTTTGACACTAATGACTATCGTGGCTACTAATTTCAATAGGCATAAGCTTTAATTTATTGCAGCATTTATGGTATACGCATAACCGAATATTAGAGATGGAGTTTTTCTCAAATATGTCATATTTTTCATTCTTGAAATAGATATATATATATATATTATATAACATTAAAAAAAAGTAATATTAATGTCTTGGAATCCCATACATTCAAACACACTTGAATTCGATACCCATACATACAAACATACTAGAAATCAATTGTCTCATTGTCTCATCACTAGCTCACTCTTACTAAAAAAAAACACTCAAATCGTTTTGCTAAAGAACAATAAATACTCTATATGTACAATGTGACAATATGTCTGTGCTCCGCTCCTTGTCACCTACAATAAATAAATAGATAAATGATCAAGTTAATGTGTTTGCAAAAAGAGCACTAAAAAAAAAAAGATATGTTTTCAAAATGAAAAAAGGCCTGCAGTAAGAATAAAATTTGGTTAGGATTGATTTTGTATTAGAGTTACACCTGTGCATCAAAATAAAATATAAGAGATTAAAGGAGATACAATCAAATTCTGTCTAAGCTCTGCATCATACGCACAGGCTTACAAACACAAACACAAACAAACATACTTGAGAGAGGGGAAATGCAAAACTAAAACAATATAATGTGCAAGACAAATTCAACCTTCAGACGCTCAATTAGAGATTAGTACAATTCAAGAGGTGTATTTCACAAGAGCAGTGATATGCTCAAATAAGTGCGAATGAACCAGCGCAACAACCCATGAGAACGAGACAGACATCTGATGATCTGAAGGCTTATCTTTCAAAGAAATATCATCAAACATTTGAAGTATAGATAACTATGAGAATGTATGTATATATTGCCATCAGGATAACATACCCTGTTATTGGTATAACAAATGCCTTCAGTGCTGGCTCACTAGTTACATCAATCAACTCTCCAAGACCCAAGGCTGCCTGTTCCCTCAGTTCTCCTGATCCACCGTACTAAAATTGGTGAGAATCAAGTAGGGACTGAACAGTTTAAAACTGAGAAAATATAAATAATGATTTTGAGAATTTACAATTAGGATTGAAAGCAGATTTATGTCTTATTTCAAGTTATAAATCTTCTATTTATCACAATGCTAATATTTGTGAGAATCAATTATAGTACTTAGGATTTCTTAATTGGTTGTTATGTCCAGTGCCTTCTATTTGTTTATTTTTTTGTTTATCTTCAAGTTATGTATTTTGGTAAAGCAAGTCTCTTTAAGTAAGTTAACTTGTTGTTGTTAGATTTGATATGTCATGGATAAAAATAAATAAATAAATAAATAAAAACACCTGGTACTAAGGTTGATTAACAGGTTTCCAAACAAGTTTTTAATGAATACATCATTTACAAAATAATACAGTAGGTTCTAAGAAAATAAAACATGTTTCAAAAATATATTAGGTTTTAAGAGAATATTTTAGGTTTTAGGAAGGCTTATAAGCCAATCGTAAGAGGTCAAGATTCTTTAGCTTTAAAAAATGACAACAATCGTATTGAATATTAAAAAAACATTTATAATGCACAACAGGTGAAGATAGCATTACTTACTTCATTCCTTTGAACCTTCACTTCCTAAATCATCAGTATCTGATGAACTTCCTGCTCCAAGAAAATCCAGAAGTTGACTAAACTTTTTCTCCCAAACTGCATTGTTCTCAGCAATTTTTCTGTCCACGTCATTCTTAATAGCTTCCGCCTCTTTTTTGGCATGTTCAACTTCTAATTTAGCTTGTTCTGCTTCTGTTCTAGAATTTTCAGCTTCTTTTCTTGCATCTTCAATTGCTTGATCTGCTTTCTTTTTAACTTCATTCACCTCTTGAGTAAGATCAATTTGAGAGGGATTTACTTTAAAATGTTGCGTAATACTTCTACCAGGTCCATAAGCTTTCAAATACCCATGTGTATCTTTGCCAAGCACATCCTGAATAATTTTCTCATCTGTTTTCTCATTAAGACCTTGCTCTCTTTGTTCCTTCAATTTGTTTATCTCATCCTATGGATAAACAATATTAAGTTAGAAGATAAGATGGTAAATGTTAAATGAAAAATAACAAAAATAAAATTCATAAACTTACTATTGCATGGGTGTTATTGCCAAATTTAATGCATTCACAGCCTTCTCAGATTTTCTTGTACGAGTTGCAACCAATACGTCAACTCGAGAACACTTCCCGCCATTCTTCTTCCTCTACAAACATTACAGAGTTTTTAGAATCAAATTACACTCCTAATTAATGAACGTTTGCAATCCAGGGAAGGGGGGCTGGTGTGCAAGTAGGGAGGGTACATATCCATGTATGTGCAGGCAACTGCATCTGGCAGAAGGGGAGAGGGTGGTAGGAGGGGGTCGGGGCTGGTGTCCAGGCAAGGGGGGTGTAATGAGACACCTCCTTCCACCATGTTCACACATACAGCAGGTCACATAATTAAAAGTTCAAATTAGAAAGAATAGTTGTTACATACTATTTCTTGTCTAGTGCGACCGAAGCTTTTAGTGCCATTATAGTGAGGAATCTTTTGATGTGCCCTACTTTCACTTGCTTTTTTGCTCTTCTCCTACAGTAAAAAGGATTTAATCAATAATATACGTTAATTATATAACAATAAAGATATACTGTCTGTGTATTTTACCATAACCGCCTCTTGACAATAGTCAACCAAGAACTTCCATTCCACTTTAGTCAGATGACTAGGCTTATTTTTGAGACGTTCTTATTTTGTTTTCAAGTTTTTATCATTAAAGTACTTTGATTTCAATTTGCTCCTAGCACCTCTAAATAAACGTTGTGCATGTTTCATAACACACTCCCGCCTATTTTCAGGGTCATCAAATGACCACTTCTCCTGCAAAAGACAAAGATAAATTAATTATTGCTCATACATCAAGTTGACAATGTTTCATTGTTAATAAGAGAAAGAAAAACCCCATAAACATGTTTATTATGATAACATATTACCGTGATGCAAGCCCACAAATGGTCTAATGTTTTAGATTTATAATCGTCCCAACATTTAACTTGTACAGAACATACAGCTTTATTTCGAACTTGTTGACCCAAGAAGAAAGAAAATAATGAAGGATTATCACCAATAGCCACACCATCATTGTCAAACTCCACATTCAGTTTTTCCCCAGGAGGTAACAGGGTAAGCTTTCTACAATATACCGTTCCACTTTTTTTTTAGCAGCACCTGTATCAAGCATAAGCTCACTAGGTAGTGAATTGACATGACTTGAAGCATATTGTCATATATATATGTTTTAAGGGATAATAAAGTCAAACCTGATGTGTTAAGGTCCTCATTCTCTGGTACAGTCATGAGTTCCTTGTCGTTCAATGGTTCAGTATCCAAAGATGCATCTTCAAGTTCAAGTGGTTGACCAATCTGTCGTCCTTCCTCATCATAGCCCCCCTCAGCGGTGTTATTATTCTCCCTTGTTTCTCCAATTTCTTCATCGTTTTCTGTTTACATGTATAGAATAAAAACAAGTCTTTACTGAAGTGATAAGAAAGGATTGGTTTTGATTGTTGCTGAAACTCTCTAAGTGATGATATTGAATCTATAGCATCCACAAACTTTCTCATGAGTTTGGTTAATTAAAATTTTACTAATTCATCACAAAACCTATAACTGATTTATTGTTTGCTTTATTAATTGATTTATTGTTTGCTTTAATAAAAATACTGCTATGTGTAATGGAATGGGTCAATGGGGATGAGGTATAAGAAACTATAGTGCAAGCTCTGGGGGATAATGTGGGTGTTGATTTGGATTTTTTGGAGGATTTAGAGGTTGTTTTAGAGGTCGCAGAGGCTGCCAATGCTGCCACGGACACCGCAGGGACTGCTGCGTCTGCTGGGAACAGTGCAGTCCGCAGCCAGCTTGATGTGGACAGCACTTACCGCAGCCAGCCTGCGGGTGCTCCTGCTAGCAGCTCTGCTGATCACATTTGGAATCATTATTGAATAATAAGGGTTGCAATTTTGTTCAATATGCGTGAAATTGGTAATCTGATTTTGTTCAATGTAACCAAAAAGCACCTATCTAGTTCACTCATATTACATGAAATATACTCAAAAATAAAAAAAATTAAAATTAAAAACTTAGATGGTTAAATGGTTGGTGATATGATCTAGCTGAAGGTTTGGCAGCCCGCTTTTTGACATGTGTAATGAATCAACCAAGACCAAGCCACCTATCTTGCATACATACCACAAGCGCAAACAACAGCAACAAATGGGCACAAGCACACCAAGCAACCCACAAGACAGACACCAACAACAAACAGCAGCACTGGACAACTAATCAGAGCAGAACCACTTTTCAGAAGCTCTATTTTGGCATTTGGGAAAGAAGACAAATGTAGTAGCTATTAGCAATAAGTAAGCCAATCTTTTAGAATGCATATAGAGATATGGAGTTGAAACTTTAACAATAAGTAAGCCATCATCATAATCCAATCTGGAATGAAATTTTGTATGTGATATACTCAGTGGCGGAGCCACGGTGGGTTCAAGTGGGTTCATTGAACCCACTGATTTTTTGAAAAAAATTAAAAACTTTTTTTTTTTTAAAAAAAAAAATCAAAATAGGTTTAAATAGAATATTTGTGTATTATATGGCAACAAGTAAAGTTGTAGCCCAGTGGTTATTTTTACCTCTCATCATACAATGATACAAGAGTTTGTGGGTTCAGGGTTCGAAACCCATAACTCACACTTTTATTTTTTCATTTTGTTTCCTTTCATCCTGCTTCCCCTAATCCCCTGCTTCCAGCTTTCCTCTTCCTCATTCCCCCAAATTGCAAAACCCTAACTTCTTCCTCCTTCTCTTAATCTCTTCCCGTTCTTCCTCCTTGGCTCCTTCTCTTCCCGGCGCACGGGCGCAGCACCGCAGAAGTCCGCAGCAGCCACTCAGGCACTCAGCCAGCACCGCAGCACGGCAGGTCGGCAGTAGGCCAGTAGTCACTAGTCAGCCCACTTTGCCGGTTTCCTTTAAGGCTTTAATTGTATGTCGTCTTCTATCTAGTTCTATCTGGCCTTCTGGGTTAATAATATATAAAGTTTTTGGTTTCATGATTTTTGTAGATAATTACGTGAATACGTGGTGTTTGAATGTGTGAATGTGTGATGAAATTTAGCTATCAATTTTGGGTTTTTGGGTGACTACTGTCTATTGAAAAAATGGTTGAAATTGGGGTCTTGGGGAAGGAAGTATCTGATTTTCATTTACTGATTTAGGGTTTGTAGATTGTAGAAGTAGTTCATTTGTTGAATTGTTGTCTGTTGACTTGAATTAGTGTAATTTGTATAGCCTGTACTTGAATTGTTGTTTGTTGAATACTTGAATTGTTGCCTGTTGAAGTGTTGAATGTTGATTGTCGGTTGAAGTGTTGATTGTCTATTGTTTTAGAGTGTTTATCAATGATTCAATGGAGGTTGTTTTAGAATGTACTACATTGTTCTCATGTTCTGTAATTAGTGTAATCTGTACATTGTTCTTGACTTCTTGTCATGGGTTATCATCGATTTATTGCAGAAGTCGATTAGAAGGGGATAATCAGTGCTCGGTGCTCCACTGCTCCGTCATCCACTCATCCATATTTCGTGGCTCTGTAGGTGAATAACTGAATTTTTACTTCTTAATTTCATATATTTTACATACTATTTGTTTTGATCTTGAATGAATGAATTCTTGATAATAAATTATGATGTATTGATTTTTATTATCTAAAAAAAATCTGAAAAAAATTGTATGCAATTGCAAAGATATTCTTCTTCTTAGTTTGCTGTATTGCTGTATGCCTCTATTGCCGTATTGCCGTATGCAAAGATATTCTTCTTCTTGAATCTTGATAAATTATGATGTATTGATTTTTATTATCTAAAAAAAAATCTGAAAAAATAATTTTATAGTGATTGTGTGAACTTCTGTATTGCAGTATTGCCGTATTGGTGAGTGGTTTGCTTATTGATATTTTTTGGTTTATTTCTTTCTCGTATCCATTCTTTCCAGTTTCCAGTTAGCCTATTGTTGCTGTATTGTTGCATGTTGCTGTTAATTGGCGAGTGGTTTGCCGTATTGTTGCTGTTAGCCACTTAGCCTATCATTGAAACTGGTGAAATTCGTTGAGTTACTTTTGGTCTTTATATAATTGTATGCAAATATGCAATTCGTATAATTGTATTCAAATATGCAATTCGTACATAATTGTATGCAAATATGCAATTCATTCAATTGTAAATTATGATTCTGAACTTTCGAAATTTCGAACCCCCTATTTGGAAATCCTGGAGACGCCACTGGATATACTGCTACACCTACTCGCAACAACCCTCCAATATAACAGTGAGAAAATTTATCATTGAACATTAAGCATGAAATCATGAATATGGGGAGTTTGACTTTCTTTCATGCCATGTAGCATATACTATTGAGGAATATCAAAAATACCAATAATTTATTCATAGAAGATGGTAAGAACAAGGAATTTGACAAAATAAATTTGAACCGTAAAACATTTGTTGGAGTATGAATACTCTAGAATGATGAGGTTACCCAACTTTCCTATACTAAACACTTATTTCATTAGCTGAATAACTTTTTTTTTTACATAAAAGCAATTACATTGCATACCAAAACTAATGTTTTCATATGTACATGGATATTAGTATTTAATACATATGGACTAACAAAATGGTCAAGGGAAGGTTAGGGGAGATATAGAGCAGTATTTTTATCACTCAAAAATGAAAATTGGTGGGCAGATATGTATTTAATCTAATGGTGGTATAACTAAGAATAATTACATGAAACAAAATAAATTAGTGGCGGAAAACAACCACAACAAAGTATGCAAACTATATAGACTAGCAGAAGATATGCCATACAAACGTAATCAAGCTATGTGTTATCAACAAACAACGACACGAAAGCTAAATTATACTACAATATTAACAAGTGACCATAAAAATGAAACAATAGTCCATCATTTCACGGTTTCACCTAAGAACAAAATCCTACAGATGTCAAAAACAGAAAATTTTGACTAAAATTTTGACAAATGTAGTAGCTATTAGGTAACTAAGGTACCTAATAAGATCAAAATGACAGTAATAAGCTAGAAAGCAAAATCAAGAATAATGAAGTACCTTTTTCTAAGATATCCATGGCCATTGTATTTTGTGCTTTCTTGTTCGTCTTTAGAAACTTTTCCACTGAGTTTGGTGGAATGAAATTGCCTTTTTTGTTTCCTTCTCTCAAATGTCTTATGTTAGCCTGATAAAAATTAATTAACAAAAAATTACCAGAACTATAGAGGTTGGTTGAAAAACTAAATAAATCATACTTATTAGTTCATATTATACCTTTCTTGTAAACCTGATTTGAGGTTCTATTTCACGTTCCCGAACCTCAAGCTCATCATTAGTGGGAACATATTCATCATCTTCCAGGCCAACAATTTTTTTTTTCCTTTTTTTTCTTTATTTTTTGTCCCTTCAACCAAGCTTGTCAAAGAAGATGCGATTCTTTTTATGCCCAACGACTTAAGTCTGTTTTTGTTGGCTGCTATTATAAGAAGCCTCTTTTTTTCATACTCATTCATCTGCATTTACAAAGTAAAAAAAAAATAGGGTTAGAAAATTTTACAATAGAATTGTAATGCACATTGACTGCCTAATCTAATCTACTACCATCCACTGCATCCCTAATGCAAAGCTGCTGCCAGCTACTATACACATGGTGTACAATTACTATCAAATACTACAAGCCATTTACCAATAACTGTGCATAAAACAAAAACATCCTGGCATATATCTATTCAAATAAGCCAATAAAAACACGAATGCAAAGTGTGAAAAAATAAGTAATTATAACTACAAAGGTTTCTCAGGAATCCATGAATATATGTATCAACACATATAATTCATGCTAAAAAAACAAAAGGAAAAAAAATTAAGCAATATCAATATCATCATCGTCGCTCTCTTGGTCACTCTCACTGTCATCCTCATCATCATCCTCTAGCAAATCTTCGTCATCTAATGTTTGTAAGTCCATATCATTTAGATCTTTGGGTTGATTTTCCTTGGTAGCATCTACGATCATTTCACCAATATCATTTCTACTATGTGCACGTAGATCATCATTAGGGCTACTTGTATCCAGAATCTTCTTCGTAATTTACCCCTTTTGTGTTTTGGATTTGATTTTTTCAATTCTTTGTTTCTGATTTTGTTATTTTGATTGATTGTATTAGGTGAGAAGGGAAGGCGGATTAAGGAATCCTGTTTTTTGAATATGGATGAGTGTGATGTAGCAAACTTTATAGCCATTTGCTGGGCTATTTATGGTGCTAGGAACTCTCAGATTATGGAGGGGAGTGTAGGGATTATGAGGAAGTGATGAGCTATGCTATAAAGACTGGAAATTCCAAGCCTGGTTTTTGCTGTGCTGCTGCTGTTAGTTTAGGGAAGGTTGCTGTCGATTGGACAACAACATATGCAGGACTCTTAAAGGTTAATGTTGATGCTGCCTTTATAGGTGACTTTGGGTGTGGTTTGGGGTAGTGATCAGGGATGGTTTTGGTGAAGTTATGGCTACAGGGGTCTAGCAGGGCAGTGAGAAGTGGGACGTGAAGGTGGCTGAAGCAAAAGCCGTGTGATGGGGGCTGCAACTGGCTGCGAATATGGGTGCCCAAAATTTAGTTGAGGGTGATTGTTTGCAGGTCTTCCAAGCTTTGAAGAGCGAAGAGATTGGCTATAGTGAATTTTCTTTAATTTTAGGGGATGTTTTGTTATTTTGCACTAACTTTGTTATTGTTTATTGGTCTTTTGTGAAACGAGGTGGGAATAGGGTTGCTCATGAATTGACCCGGTTTCATCATAGGGAAGTGGGTCAATGAAAGTGGTTTGATGTAATTCCCTCTCGTATTCTTGATGTAGCTCTTCTTGATATATCTAATTAGCTCCCCTTTATGGATTTTATAAAAAAAAGGAAAAAAAAAGGAATGGACCATGTTTTATTGACTTGATATAAATCTTACTTGGATTCTCATTACTTTATTTCTTCATGTACATGTAAGAGGTTCTGGATTGAGAATACATTGAAGAAAATAGGACCCAAGGAAGATATAATCTCAAAATTAATTAAGCTTTAAAAATGCTAACAAAAAAAATAATTCTTTTGGTTTACTATTTACACATTAAAATCGCATCATATAATAAGAAAAGGCTATGTTTTTTTTATAAAACCGTAGCAATTAGGTAAAAAATGCTACGATTTTGAATTGTAGCAAATACATGTTCCTATGTGTTACTCCTAGTTTTGCAGTTCAAAACCAGAGCAAAAGGCTTGAATAAAACCGTAGCAAGTGTACTAGTGTATTTTGCATTGGTATTGCTCTACTTGTTCAGAATTATTGTAACATATGACTTTTAATATCAAATATATTCATCAATTTGACAAGACTAAGCTAATGTTCTAAAAAATGCAAATTAAAAAAAAAACAAAAATTAATAATAATAAAATGCAAAACAAAATATTTTTTGGCAATTTTACACTACATTGTTTTTTTAAAAATAATCAATAATTATAAGATACAACATTTTTAAAACAAATTTATTTGAATATTATTTGGGTAAATGTCATATGGTTAAAAATTTATAATAGTGCATAACCAACAATTTTATTTGAAAGAATTTGTAATTTTTTTGTTTTACATATTAATTTGTATTTCATGTTTGAAACTAATTGTAAATTTAACCATATAAAAGAAATTTTGTCGTAAGATTCCTATCATTAGACTAAGTTTATTTTCTTTAAAAGAAATATGGTCGGTTTATATTAACATATGTTTGCCACATAAATAAATTTTGATGTGGCACAAGTGTTATAATGATTGTCACATTGAATAAAATACCCGTGACACAAGTGTTTGTTTTCCACGAGAATAATATTGTCGTGGCATCACTGTCTATTTGCCACAGGAATATAAATACGTGTGGCATAGTTTTTATTTGCCACGGGAAAAACATATAGTCGTGGCACTAGTTTCAGTTAGCCACGAACATCATTTTTCCCGTGGCATAATATTTGTTGTCATATCAAGTTTATTATTGAATTTAATTTTTCCCGTGGAAAGATCAAATTATGCCACGAATTTAGAATTCCCGTAGCATAATTCGTCGCACAAGTGGTGAATTGTTGTAGTGAGATCTTGAAATAGACTTTATTCATACCGCCTTAGAGTATTGGGATTCATACACTCATTGCTTTAGATTAGGTCATGATGAAATTTAACCTTTACTGGAAGAATTTGGTGCCATTTTTGGCTTACCTTCTTTAGATCTTGCGGTAATTCCTAAGGTGAGCGAGTATTATTATAAGGATTTTGAGCGTTTCCTTAACCTTAGGGATAAAGACTTAAAAGTTTTAGTGCATGGGAATGTGGTTAATTTTACAGAATTTGCACGTTTTTATTTTGATAGACCACGCTCGGAGTCTTTTCATGTTTATAAAAGAAGGGCTTTCCTGTTTTGCATGTTTAGCCAATATCTCCTCACTAGTGGTAATATTCGTGAGGGTCAAGCAATATTAATGTCTGTCATGGAGCAAATTGAATCAGGAAGAAATCCAATGCCATTAATTGTTGGAGAAATTATGCTTAGTTTAGATGAGCTAAAAAGAAATCCAAAAGCACCTCTTCGAGTTTCTCTAATATTATTACAGGTAGAAAATTAATACTTTTAATTGCAGAAATAAATATATTTAATTTTGTATAGTTGCAGATATTGCTAATGGAGAGACTAAAATTAATCAGCCCTCCTGAAAAATATTGAAAAACGTACATCAGATTGCTTTGTAAGAAGGAAGAAGCGCTTTTCCATCACTAATAGAAAAAAGTGCTATTTGTAACTGGAGAAATTGACTTTTTGTAACTAGTATTGTTGGTTGCGAATGTCACCGTTAAAACTAGTGAAAATTATTCGTAACCGGCTAATGTTAGTTACAAATAATGTATTATTCGTAACTGTCTTTACCCAACATCAGTTACAAAAAGTCTATTTTCCAAGTAAGAAATTACACTATTCGTAACTGACATTAAGTTACGTCGGTTACAATAAGGGTATTATTAGTAACTGGCAAATCATAACGCTGGTTACGAATATATTTTTTATTTTGTTGAAAAAAAATACTATTAGTAACTAGCACTAGATTACGCCAGTACTAATGAATAATTATTATTTTTTAATAAATATTTGATTCGAATACAGAATGGTAGTATATCCTACCAAATTCCCCATCGTCAATAGGGTTATAACTTGTTACAATTCAACCAACAAAACATGTACTCCAAATACTTCCATATAATTTTAATTCACCCACAACACACAATACAAACACTCAAAATAGTTTCACACTTCGAACTATTCATCCACATCCATACAATACAACAAACATAGCTATAATTTAATTTCCAAAAAACAATTAAAACTTAAATAAAATAAGCATTGATTTATAGTTTAGAAATATAATAACAATAACCAATAGGCTAAATAAAATTAAAGTAGATATATAAAAATGTGTTACATTTTTATTAAGCTAAATGCGATTAATCATAACATCGATTAATAAGATAACTAGTCATTCAACAAAAAATTAAGCCTAAAAAACTTAGCCCATTGTTCTAAAATCTCATCCAATTCTACATCGTTGTAGGCTGCAAGTCTTACTAAATACTCCTGCAAATATAAAAAAAATAAGTGTATATACATATTATACTTTATAAAAATAAAACATCAACCAAAACTCGTATAAAGCATTTTAGCTTGCATAGAGGAGGTAAATTCATCACTAACCTCTTTCAAATTACCCTTGCAATCGCTATGGAAAGATACTATCTCATACATATATCTCATCACATAATAAGCACATTCGGTACCGCCACATTGTTGAGCACACTAATTCAAAAGAACATAGTACAATTATTTAATAAAATAAATAGTACTTTCATTACTAATAGAACGAAAAAGCAAGAATTATACGCTTACCTCCATTCTTATGTGTAGTAATTGTGGCTTACTCATTTGAAAGCATTTCCTTTGAGGTGTGACCTATATACATTGTAAGGTTTAGAAAAAAATCATAAAAAGCATTAGATTAGACGAATGAAAAATAACTTTTAATTACATGCATATGAGTACGTAGTACTAGGAATGTTGTGTACTAACAACTTCATTATTTTGGACAACTCTGGGTTTCGAGCGTTAGGAGGTGATTGAATAACAAAATCAAACTCATACGCAAATCAATAACATAGAGCACCCAATGGTTCCTACATTTCAATAAACTTGTTTATATTATTCACATAATTGAAATAATAAAATTATGAAAAAGTAAGGATTTCAAGGATCAGTAGTACATACTCTTCCATATATAGAGATAAAATGAATTTGCATTGTGCATCCTTTTTCCTTAATTCAGTAAGAAAATCATTTTTCAAATACATTTGGACATCAAGGAAATCTTTCTTGATTTCAGCTACAGAAATTTTTTGGGGGCACAGGAATATAATTTTAGTCTTCTAAAATAATGAGATATGCTCTTCAATTATTTACCTGCATTTTACAGAAAAAAAAATAATTAGTTTAATAAAAGGATCTAATAAAATATATTTCATAGTGAAACAAATTCAAATAACTTAAATGTATGTTAGTATTTAAAATATGTAGACATGGATTAATGAAATATTAACACATGCTCCTTGTAGTAATTCAGAGACATCATCACTAGTAACATAAATTTGTGTGTCTTCCTCATGATAAAATAATGGATCCTTCAATGGAATTATCGTAGTATCATAATCTCCACTTACTGAAGTCATGCAACAATACAACATAGAACACTGTTCACCAAGACTCTCAACAATATTTTTCGGAATAATAAGTTATGCCTTTGCCTTTAATAGTTGAATGCTATGAGTTAATAGGTCCGCACCTATCAACTTTCTCTTTGGTCTGCACCAATTCATTATCCATCTTTTTCGCCAAAGTCATAACCTTCAAGAAAAGATAAATATTAATATAATTTAGTTACAAATATCTTAGATCATTATATAGCATATCAATCAATTACCTCATCAGTAAAGACGACTAAATCTGTCGGCCACCCTAAAAAATAACCTTTCGCCTTACCCAACTTAGTGACACTGTCATCAGTCTCTTCTGGGAGATTTAGGTGAGAATAATCACTGTAAACATGGTCAACACTAACTCTGTAGATGTCACGGTTCATTTTCTTGTTATGAGTCACTCCACTAGGACAAGGTTTCGCCATTCCATCGGCCATATCACTGAGTTCCCACTAAACTCATCAATTAAAGCAAGACGACATTTAGTTGGGACCTACATAATAGTGCATGTCGTAAGAAACATGAAAGCATAATCTACAGTTAACAACTAATAAGTATGAGAAATAAAAAGTTTAAGATCACACATAAATATAAGCAATCAAATAAGTTCAAGATCACACTAAAAATGATAAGCTAAAGCTGCTCATTCCTAAAGATGTCCTGCTACTTGTATAATGGTAATGATTTGTTAGTTACTTTGTTGAATAAATTTAGTGTTTTTGTGATGCTTACCGCTATAGAGCACTGATAGGTAAGATTTATAGAGCAAAAGTAGGTAAGATTCTTTGTAAAAAACTGATTTTCTTTGGTAAATTGGCCTCTAGCAAATGGGATTGGGAGGGTTTATAAGGGTTAGGAAAGGGGGAGGGGGTTGCAGGTTAGAACCTTGGCTTGGACTGATTTAGCAACCAGCTGAGCCGGTCTTATATTTCCACTTGTATCAAGATAATAGAAATTCGGTCACACAACAAGATGATTTGATTGAAAGGAATAGCTAGCTCAATATATCAACAAGATATTCCTAGTGTATCTACAAGGCTATAACACTACCTAAAGAGTACTTTTTCCATTAACAAGATATTGTCACATTGCTCTTACCCTCATAAGTAAGATATTGA